ATGGAGCTGAGAATAATCTGATTAAGTGCATTATTATTGTTGTCAGGTTTTTAGCTGGAGAGATGTTCTTGTTTTGTAGATAAAATGTGCTGCATTTAAAAAAAAAAAGCCAGGGGAAAGAGTGGGAGCAGAGCCTTAATGCAGGTTTCCTGGAGAAGGAAAGACTTAAATCATTTTGCAGAAGAGGCTGACATATGTGCCTAACTCGTGCAGTATTCATTAATTGAGATAAAGCCAATGGAGTTGAACGGTGGCTGTATAATCAGCTCCTGCTGCTCGTAAAAGGACTTGGTGCAGCCAAGATGTTTATTTTCGAAGCAGGAGGCCATCTTCTGGTCTCATTCTTGTTTTTTTTCATTGATATTATGTTATTATCAGATGACTTATTGCATAAAATTAAATAAAAAGGCACAATCTGTCGAAACAACAGGAAGAGCTTTCTCCAGATTCTCTTACTGGAAATCTGCGTGGTGAACAGACACTTGCTTCATCTGAAGGAACTGCAAACCTCAGGGGACGGATAATGGAGCCTTTTGCCTCCAGTCCAGCCAAGCTGGTCAGGCTGGATGCTGACACTTTGCTACTCAGATACAAGCAGCCAGCGCTCTTGTCGCTTGCAGCCTCCTAATTGGCTTCTCACTGATTTACTCTCATCTGCTTCTAAGCCCAGAGCTGAATGACACGAGGACTGACACTGCCACCACCTCCCCTTCCTCTCTTGAAGTAAGGTCAGGACAAAACCCGACGTGGGGCGTGTGGTGGTTGCACAGTTACTGCTTGAGCTCAGCGGGCACTGCAGAAAAGAGTTTGCCCAAATAAGCACTTTCAAGAATCCTGATAAGCTGATGTCAGTGTTGAGAAGCTGTATTTTCCTCCATGGTTTTATTGGACTCCTGATTAGCAGAGAGCTTTGAGTGGAGAGCATGTGGGATGGCTATGAGCTCCTTGCTGAAGGCCCCCGATGGCTGATTTCACCGGTACAAGAGTAGGTTCTCTGAGAGAAATACAAGCGTTATGCAGATACCTCCCTTTGCTGTCAGACTGTTGCCGTAGGGAAACAAAACTCCGGGTGGAGAACATGTTACCTGGGCAAGAAAATCTGGCCAAAAGAGGCTTCTTCCTTTGACATCCCAGGTGATATGCTTCAGCTTTCTCTGATGATTGAACCCACAGAGAGAGTCTCATCTGGGTGAATATGTAAAGTGCCAGCTGCTTAGAGAATGTTCGAGCAGAGATGAAGAAGGGCTGGGGAAAAGCTAGGTGTGGGGATTAATACTTTTTTTTTAAAGTAGGATCTCTTTTTCTGATTGCTTTTTACCCCACAGACCTTCTCACTGCCTTTTGGCGGGTGCGTGATGCCATTTTTGCATTTCAGCTGAGCTTTGAAGTGAATAGTAAGTCTCCATGGTTGCAGAAGGAATAAGCAGTTCTAGCAGCTGAAGCTGTCTTTAGCAGGCAGCTCTACTTTCCTTTCTAGGAAGAGCAGCCTTTGCAAAAATAAAGCATTTTGGGTAGTTCCCTTCCTTGCCTTCTGCTCCCACATTGCCTGCACACCAAGAGCGTGGGTCAGGAGGATGGCTGCTGGCGACAGCAGGCACAGACGGCTGCAAACGTGACCCTGCCTGACCCTTCTGTGAACCGGGTTGCCCAAAAGGCTGGCTTCAAAAATCACATCCAACCTTCAGGAATTTTCCGTGAGAGGAAAATGCATCAGAAAGATAATTATAGAAAGAAATGGCCTGGAGCTGTTAGCAGAGTGCAAACGATGGGTTCGTGTAGCTGTTCTCCGGACAGAAATGGGAGGTTTGGTGTTGTACAGGAGAGTCTCCATCACATTAAAACTGGTAAAGGTGCCTCCTGCTCTTTTCCTCTTTCCCATCCTGGTGGCCTGGAGGCAGGGGTCACCCTCCTTTTAATTTCCAGGCTTTGCAGCACAGGATGGCTTTAAGGCAGCTTCAGTAGCTTTAGTTTTAAAGCACCACAGCTATTAGCACGCTGGGTTCAGTGCAGGGAAAAAGCTGCTCCTGCTGGCTTTGCCATTTTGGAAAGCCCATTTTATGTACAGAGTGTCACACTCGTCAGCTGCAAAGCCAGCGCTACCGCAGCGAAGCCTCGTTGATCCTGCCTTCCAGGGTGAAGCAAGGGAAGCCCTTCTTTCACTCTGCTGCTTTTCACTTCGCTCATAACCAGCAAATCTTTATCCTGGGCTTACAAGCTGCAAACTATGATGATATCGGGAGCTCTCCTCTGTAATCTGCCCACCAGGGATGATCCAGAAGGCCCTAAGGAGATGTTTCTGGAGCTCTCTATGGGCGGCGTGTCACACCACTTAAGGCACCTACAAAGGCGATGTAAACTTGATAGCCCTGTGGGAGACTAAAAGAAACTTGTAGTGGTTTGGTGATTTTAAAATAAATAGGTGACAAGATCACAGCTCCTTTAGGTCCCTGGGGGTGATGCTGTGGATGGCTTCTGCTGTGCCCTTCTCTCAGAGCAGGTGTGCTTCAGTCCATTATTTTTTTTTCTATAGCCATTGAGTGTGATTTATGAGCTTGGGAGGAGCAGCCCTTTCCTTGGCTGAGTAGTTGTGGACAGTCGTTTGTGTGGTCTGCCCGAGGTGAGGCACTCAAAGCAATCCTCACTGCCCTCCTCTCTACCCAGGTTTTGCTAATTGCTGTTTAGAGGCTTGGCTGGGGAGATGTAAGTCATCCCAGAGAAAGAGTCAGTTGTGGTGGGGGGGGCAGGGGTGGGGAAGATGGAGCAGCTGGCAGAAGCTGCCCCAAAGTAGGCTAATGAATTATAAATAACAGCTGTCAGGTTGCATTGCCAGTGTGCAGGGGCTGACAGGCTGTGTTGTACCGGTCTCCAGCGTGTTGGTTTGCCGAAAGGTGCATTCAATATTTATGGGAAGCGCAGAGGAGTCAGGATAGAGTCAGGTCTGCTCCCTTCCCAGCTCCCCTCGCTTGTGGTTGTGCCTTTTTACTGATTTCTGAGCTGGGACTGATTATAGAATTACCTTTGCAGCCTGGAATGTGCGTTACTGAAAGTCACAAGGCAAAAGATGAAAAGGAATGGAGAAAAGGATGCCGGGCAGGGGGAACTGCAGAGTGTATGTGTGTTTTGGGGCTTTTGTCATCCTTACCAAGCAAATGTCACCCTTGCTTTTGCTGAGCTGAAACTCTCCTGTTCATCTGAAGAGGAACTGTAAATGTTTGAGAAATAATCTAAAGGTATTTGGATGATCAAGTCCTTCAGAGCTCCATCCCACAACAGCGTTATTGAGAATGGCAGGAGAAAGCCTGATATTTGTAACTTGTGCATGCCAGCAGTTGTGGCGTTACGGAGGGCTCGTGAGGGCACCGGGCTGGTTTCATACACATTTGAATGAGGAGAAATAAATCTGTGTCTTCAAGGCTAGAAATAAGGGATGCTGCTGGCTGAGCACTTCACCTGGAAGTTTATCAGTGCGTCTTCTCTGTCCCGTGATTGCTGGTAGAGCTACTCAGGACTGAGGCTAGCTTTGGGGATGTTACCAGCAAAAAGACTAACTTTGGGGATGTTACCAGCAAGTGATCTGAGGTCCCTTGAACAGGAAACATGTTGCTGTTACCCTAATACGTGGTAAGAGCTTTCTTTCCTGATCAAGTCTGCAGTACTGACTCAATACCAAAAATACCTTTTTTGCGTAAGTCAAAAGAAGGATGCAAAACAAATAACATGCACTCTTTTTAGTTGAAGTATAATTAAAGCCTTCTTATTAAAATCTAATTGCATGCAAGTGACATCCATCATAAAACAGACTGTTTACTTGTTCATCCCTAATACGTGTCAGGAAGACAAGAACTTGTTGTCTTCCATCCATTTCCTCACTTGCTTTTCATTTTTAGGAAGTGATATTACTGAAAGTTATGATTTTCTTGAATTAGGAGGACTTTCTTATGTTCTTCTATAGAACACTGTCTAAAACCAGTCTCTCCTTGAACATGACAGAAGAATCCCCAGTTGTGAAGCTGTCTTTTTGCCCTTTTTTCTTTTAAATGCTTGAGCTTGTACATTTAGTACGCAGCATATTCAGCATTGTGTAGTAGCACGGGGATGTGTGTGTGCAGCTCCTTTGGCCCAGAAGCAAGGTCCCACAGGTATGTTTGATAGCAGCCTGTATTTATATCACTGCTACTACCTCTCTGTGCTAATATTTTGTGGCTCTGTAGTGACCCAGCTTTCTTATATTCTTCTGTAGAACACTGTCTAAAACCAGTCTCCCCTTGAACATGACAGAAGAATCCCCAGTTGTGAAGCTGTCTTTTTGCCCTTTTTTCTTTTAAATGCTTGAGCTTGTACATTTAGTACGCAGCATATTCAGCATTGTGTAGTAGCACGGGGATGTGTGTGTGCAGCTCCTTTGGCCCAGAAGCAAGGTCCCACAGGTATGTTTGATAGCAGCCTGTATTTATATCACTGCTGCTACCTCTCTGTGCTAATATTTTGTGGCTGTGTAGTGACCCAGCTGGTGAACTGAACTGGCTGAAGGTTGAGTTGTCTCTTTGTTATATGCCCCAGGCATCAGTCCGGGGTTGCTTTCAGTGGCTGTAGAAGGGTATTCTGACACTTCAAAGTTGCAGAAATTAAGCATCCAGTTGGATTTATCCTAGACTGTGGTCTTGTCTTATGTTTATATTGTGGGTACTGTTGACTTTTGAATAAAACTTTTTGGATGTCACCTAACTATGAAAGTGGGGCAGCCCCATTGCCTTTGCCAAAAGTAAAAAAAAAAAAAGAGAAAACAAATCTTTCTTTTCTCCCCAAAGGCAGCTTCCATCCCTTTCTCTAGTGCCATCCATGCACTCTAATCCTACATGAAGAGAAGTAATTTTATTTATATTGCATTTTCATTTTGCTTATTGCTTTCAGAACTTAACACCTCCCTTGTGGCAGTCATAAAATACTGCAAAGCTGGAACACTGTATTTAGCGTGACTTTCTCTTCTTTTGTCTTGGCAGACACTCTCCGCTATTACATGACCTGCAGTGCTGGGTATCCCAACCCTTTCCAGCAGGTGAGTATAAGGATCCTAACTCTCTTCAGCCCTTCTCAGCATCCTCCAGGGTGTTGGTTAAAGGCTTTTGCTGCCAGCAAGTTGCAAGGTGTTGGCTTTAGGGAGGACTCCACCTCTTGGTAAAGCCTTGCTAGCTACTTTCCAGCTGTGCAAGAGGTGGCACTGTGTTTTAATGAGCAGTTTTTTCCAACTTCATCCCTACCTGCATAGCTTCAGGTCCAGGATTCCATCTTAGAAGGGCCCACGTGTGATGTGGTGAGGACTGTGGCTTTGTTCATGGCACTTCTGTTTACATGGCACTCCTAGAAGAGCATCAACCCGGAGACAGAGCACCCACAATTAATGTCAGGGTGGGAAACTACGTACCTCCTGGGTTGAATCTCTTCTTGCAGGTTCTTTTGGGTTAAACTGTGGCAACACTCCACTCCCAACATGCAGCCACTTCTGTGGGTGAGGGAGTGATTCTCACATACGCCTCTTAAATCCCTTGGATGTTGAAGGGTTTGTATCCTGAAGTAAAAATGTGAGTCATTATTCTTTTGTGTGGGGGCTGAGGAACAGCACCTGGGCCCATCCCAAACTTTGTCGTGTGTATCAGAGGCCAGAATGAACCCACACCACCCACCGTTTGGCAGACACCAGCTGCTTCACCATTTATATTTAGGATTTTTTTTAAGTCTTGTCTTCCTCTGTTTTAAAGGGTGGGGTAAGAACTCTTCAAGCTGTGGTATGATGCACCGTTGCCATCTGTTGCATTTCTGGTTGCTCAGAACCCTCTGACATGCTATTGCATGTGAAATTCCCATGGATGCTTTAATGGGATGTGAAGGCTGCACCCCAATACAAACAACTTCTTGTGTTAACATTAAGTCTTTCTCAGCCATCTGATTTAATAGAAAAATCCAGCTGTGCTCTGTGGTGAGAACTTGAGTGCACTGTGTTTTTCTCTCTCTCTCTCCTCTCTCCTGGAGCTGGCCCCAGCTGCGCAGATGTTTTTGTGTGTGTATGTGTTTGGTTTTCTCTTTTGGTTCCTCTCTTTCCCTTTTCTTTCTGTCTGTACTTCTTCCAGGTTGGTAAAAGTCAAACTTAACCCTGTCGCAGCTGCACCCATGTCAGCTGAGACATCCTTACCTTGTACCATTCATACAGATGGTACTTCGATATTTGGGAAGTGGAATTTAAGTCTTTTCCCTGGAGTTCAGTTGGTTCATGTGGCCTGAATTGCTGAAACATTACATGTTTTGTGTTGAGCAGAAACTGTCAGGAAGTCACAAGGCTCTGGTGGAAATGCAAGATGATGTTATGGAACTCATGAGGTCAGCAAGCAGAGAGCATCCCACCTCCAAGGTAATTCTCCTCAAGTTGCTCTCCCTGTGCTTTGTGGCTTCCCTAACCCTGGTATAAAGCCCAAGATCAGCTCCTGTTAAGCCATTTCCTTGCTGTAATCACTGGCTTGTTACTTACAGGAGTATCTTACTCGGATTCAGGAGGTTTTAAATTCAACAGAGATCAACTTGCAGCAACTGACAGCTTTAGTCGACTGTCGGAGTCTGCATTTGGTGAGTGCTCGGTAACTGGGCTCGAGCTAAGAAAGAACAAAGGGGGTGTAGAGCCTGTAGCCTACTGATTATTTTGGAGTTTCAAATCTCTGGTGTGCCAAAACAGTTTACAACAGCTTTTACTGATTGACTCCAGCAGAAAGGAGAATGGGAATTTGGCTCATGTTAGCTTTCTGTTTAAAAGATCAACATAGGAAACTAGATAACATGCCTTTATACATCTACAAGCTGCAGCCATAAGGTTTCAGGGTCCTTCAAGGTGTTTTTTTTTTCTATGCACATAGCTTCTTGCCTTTTCCGTGGACTGGAATGCCTTATAGCTGCAGTATGGCATGGCCTAACTGTTGTCCTGGCTTCCTCTCTGAAGGCAGAGAAACAGATAGTCCATGCTTGTGTTCTTGGGCAATAGGAGGTAGTGAGGGAGCTGAGGGGCTTCATGAAAATGTGGTATCTTAAGTTGGGTGGATAAGCTTGCCTTGGCTTTTTTATTCTTTTTTTTTTTATTATTTTTTTTTCTTCTCTCCTAAAGTCTTATTGTGTGGGTTTGAAAATATTTCCACATCTAAATCTGAGCTGGGCTTTGTGAGGGGAAATAAGGGTTAGATCAGTTATGAAAAATATTTGGGGTCCCTAAAATTAAAATGGAAATATGCTCTGGAAAGGGGACTACAATCTCTTAAGTTGTTTCAGAGAACGTTGTCCAGGGGAAGGGCTTTTGAATTAGAGCTCAATGTTAACTCTCTAGTGATCAGGAAACTGTTCCTTTCTCTCTCCAGGACTACGTCCAGGCTCTGACAGGCTTTTGCTATGATGGAGTGGAAGGCCTCATCTACTTGGTTCTCTTCTCCTTTGTCACAGCCCTCATGTTCAGTTCCATTGTGTGCAGCGTCCCACACACTTGGCAGCAAAAGAGGTACAGAGAGGGTTTAGATCCTGTAACGTTGTAGAACTCTTTCCTAGTGAAGACTGGCTATTGGATTTGTGCCCGTGAGCATATGGAGCTCTTTCCCATATGATCCCAGGAGCGTGAGGGATGAGGCTTTATAAGCACAGGTCCAACAGAAGAAAAAAAAAAAGTCACTGTTGGCTTTTGCTCTGGCTGTGGTTAATATTTACATCTGAACCTTATTGCACTGGAATACTATGTATGCAGAGTATTCAGTGCACTCTATGACTGACTATGAGTCAAGTCAGAGATGAATGATTAGAGCTGTAGAGAGAAGTAATGCTCAAACTATGTGCCATCTCTGTAAAATACCTATTTTCTTGCATTGCTATGAGGCGTTTGTTCTAGTATGGGGAAGAGAATTGGAACGAGAAGCAGTTCACACTTGCCTTTTTGGCTTTGCTCACACTGGGATGACTGACTTGCGTAGCTAATAGAAACCAGGAACTGTCTTGTTGGCAACAGCAGATGAGATACTTGCAAATTGGTGGCAATCATCTAACAGCAGAGTTGTTTGGAACTAGTTTTTGTGATGCTAACCAGGCTAAGCAGTAAGTCTTGAGCAGACCTTCACTTCTCCATCTCTGGAGACATTCAAACCCCACCTGGACACGTACTTGTGCAACCTGCTCTAGGTGGACCTGCTTTGGCAGGGGGGTTGGACTAGATGATCTCCAGAGGTCCCTTCCAACCCCACATCATGCTGTGATTCTGTGATTCCCTGGCTGCTGTGCCACATGCAGCTATTAAAATAGCTTGGAGTTTTTGTGTTCTTGCAGAAGAGCAGCAAATTCTCTTCTGTGGTCCTCAAATGTGACTTTTGTGATCTAAGCCCAGGCTCGAGGTTCAAAGTCAAATGGAAGATCCTGAACAATAGGAGGAAGCCAGAGCCCTCCAGGGCTGCAGTGACCACAGAGAAAGCCTTGGGAAATGCGTCAGGAGAGCACTTCAGAAAATGGCTGGTTTCCTTACCTCTTCCACACGCAGCTGCAGAGGCGATAGCAGGAAGAGAATATATTCTGCCCCATTTTGAAGGAAAAAGATGTACCCAGTGACATCTCTTGTGCTGCCTTCCGTGAGGGCTGTGCCTGCCCTGCCAGCCCCAGCAGGCTCAGGCTGCTGCTGTCAACTGCAGGATTCCCTCTCGCATTCCCCCCAGCACCATTTCTTCCTCTGCCTCCCCGCGGGAGGTGGAAGATGTCATACTTTATTGCCTCTAAGAGACCGTGCAGGCTGCAAGTCCCTGAATAAATCTTCAGTGCCACCTTGTGGCACAGAACCTGCAGGTGATGTCTGGGATGTTTTAGCCTTGGCCATGCTGTCTCCCCTCAGCAACAAAGTGTTCCGTGTAGACCATTTTACTAACTTTGTCAAGTGTCACTAAAATACATTTCAAATCTTGGCGCTTCATCCCGTAATAAAGGAGATAAAATAGTCGTGTATATTACATAGGAGGGACAAGAGAATATGGTGAGAAGGAACCAGCTGGCAAACTGGCTCTGCTCTGCGTTGAAACGGATTTAAAATCCCAGCATTAATGAGCTGAGAGAGCCTCTAGCCACAAATGTTGTAACTTAGTCTCTGTAAAGGCTTCTGAGATTTTGTTAGAAGCTGAAGCAGACCCTTTGTAACCAGAATGGGCGCTGAGAGAAGTCTATGGAGAATTATCCTTAACAATTCTTTGGACATGGCTACAAGAGATGGAAAGACACAGGCTGGAGTTTTGAAGGATGCTTTCTGTGGGGTGCGTGGCACCGCATCCCCCACTGCCTCCCTTTTACTTTTTCTTTTTTTTAAAGTGCTGTGTATTTCAGGATGTATGTCCATCCTTTGGCTGGCTGACCGGGCAGTTGCAGAACCGTGCTGTCTGCCAAGCCCTGAGAGAAGACCGTGGGGAGCCAGCAGGGGATCACACAGTGTGCAAGTCCAGATGGTGTCTGTGGGAGGTCTGAGTCACGGTGCTGTGGGCTGTGTTTGACACTGCCGCCCTGAGGCATCCCAAACGGGTAGAAATGTGGAGGTGTGGAAGATGGTTGGGAGGTTCCTAGGATTACCATGGTTTCCTGCAAACCCCACATGTGGGGTCACTGTAGGGTTCTAGGAGGAACTTTTTCTCCTTCTTGCAGAAGCTCAGATGATGATGGGGAAGAAGAATCAGCTGCTCAAGGGAGTAGACAAACACACGATAATCTTTACAGAGTGCACATGCCCAGCCTCTATAGCTGTGGGAGTAGTTATGGGAGTGAGACCAGCATCCCAGCAGCAGCACACACAGTCAGCAATGCTCCCGTCACGGAGTACATGTGAGTATCCCAACAAGAAGGCTGGGTTGTGGCTCCTCCAGGTTGCTTCACTCTGATTTCTGTCCTTCCTATGTGCCACGAGGCTGGCACTTCTAACCAAGCAGTAGAAACGATGAAGGATTTTGTCCCAAATGTCCAAAGGCATGTTTTCTGATTGGCATCTACTGGGAGAATAGAATAGCTTAGATGTGCTGCAGCAGAAGGAGTTGTTGTGTTAGACAGCACACTCCAACATACAAACAGCTTTGTCCTGCAGGATTTAGAAATCTCTCCAGAGGAAAGAAGTAGGAAAGTATTGTCTGGGCTCCTTATTACACAATGATTCTGATCCCCAGAAGACTTAATTCTTCAGACAGTTTTGCCAGAAGATTTTAAGTCTCCTGAGGGACGGAGAGCCAAGACAAAACCTGCAGGCTCCTTCCACAATATTTGTGGTCAGCTCTGACCAGAGCTACCTAGTCCAGGTGGGATCTTCAGAGCTTTCTCCAGAAGTGCCTAACCCTGATCGCACTTGGACTACCCTCAGGGCCCATCTTTTTGGGGCCGGTGCATCATTTTGTTCTTCCCGTTAGACTTTGTCCTCATTTTATCTCCGTTCCTGCAGCTTGGCAGCTCTAAAGCTGCAGGGAGGCAGATTTTCACACAGACCTATTTTTAAACCACTTGGCATGATTCAGTGTGGGCCTTTCTGAGTAAGAGTGTAAAGATAGTGCTTAATTTGAGGAAAATAATGCTAGTTTGGGGCCCTTGTCTGAAAAAGGGGCATCGTAAGAAAAGCTTTGAGGGAGACTGACCTGATACGGTAGTTCTGGGGGTGCATATGGTCTGTCCCATGTCACCATCGGAGACCTTCCCCAGAGAAGTGTGACACGTACCCCCTGTTACCATGTGTGTCTTCCTTTCCTAGGAGCCAGAATGCAAATTTCCAGAACCCCCGTTGCGAGAATACCCCGCTCATTGGCCGGGAGTCCCCACCTCCCTCAGTAAGTCTCTCTTTACTGCTCCTCTCTGCTTCAGCAACTTTGGGGAATACACGTTTGCCACTCCTGTATACTCTCAAGGGAGCTGGTTGTGCAGCCAAACACAGGATCTGGCCCATAAATGGCAGCAATTTGAATGGACAAGCCATGTCTCACCCGCTGCGGGGAGCAAAACCCTGCTGTGCTACTTTGGACATTGCGCATGAAAAGAATCAAACTCAATCTATTAACACTATTAATCCTATGGGCCCAGTCCTGCCACCACTGAAGTGCATGAGTATCTTGGTGGGTGACTTCAGCAGGATGATTCACTTGCATGCGATGTATTTGCTATCTGTGGCATTGATTCCTCAAGTTTAAAACAAAACTTGTTAAAACAGTAAATTCAGAGTTATTGCTGAACCTCTCTCCTTAATCTGCCCTAAAGGGATAGTAGGATGAAATCTGTATTTTTTTATTTTTGTTGAGATTTTTTTTTTTAAAAATCTTTCTTTCGCAACTGTTTTACTTTCTTTAGAACCTATTTTTTTGTATTTAATTTCCTATGGAGGAAAAACCAAAAAAAAACCAAAAAACCAACAAACTTTCATGGAAGGTTTTGGTATTTGGAGTGGCCTGACAGCCATTTCTGTGCGCTGGATAAAACATGGGCTTGCCTTCACGTATGTGTAAGAACTAGATGAATCTTGCCCTCCTTCACTGGATCCTGTAAGCCTTAACTTACACCACAACTTGGAGAACACGCCATCACAGTGCTCACTAACTCGGTGGTGTGACTGCAGAGGATGAGTAGTAGCATGCTTAATCATCAACCAGTCTTTGGGTCTAGGTAAAGAAAATACACTCCGTGGTGCATGGTTCCAATTTACGGGAAGGGGAGGAAGAGGATGAAAGACTAGGAATTGTGGTGGAAAAGGGGACATCACATTCACGTTTTCACTTCAAAATAACCAGTTCATCTTGCTGTAGAGCAAGCAGAAAAGTGGAGGGTTGATCCTTGTCTCTGTACTTGGCCAGACCTCTTTCAGCCTTCACAAAGAGTTTTCCCTGATCCCTGGTGGTACTCTGATCACAAGCTTTGGTGGCGTTATCTGCTCTCCACCACAAGATGGTCCTCAGAAGAAGAGCTGACGTGTTACACATCAGTAGAGTGTGGCAAATGCTTTACCGCTGGTGTTTCCCGTTGAACAAAGGACACAGTCCCTCTGTTCATTCAGTGTTTGTAGACCAAGGTCCTGCTTCCCCTTCCCCTACAGCTCTTCTGCTTCAGAGACAGCACTCTCCTTTCTGCAGGGGCTTTAGTTAGGCAAGAGGTTCCCTGGTTCTTCAGTAGTTGTTTGTGTTGATACCCTGAGGGGGTATCCGAGTCCTGGTGCCTTAGGCTGGTTTCTGACAGTAGATAAAGATGGGATTTTTTTGACTTGGCAGCCATCAATATGGGCTATAGGAAAGCACAGGAGCTGGAGGAGGAGGAGGAGAGTGTGTTGTTGCTCATATAGCCAAGGAGAGCTTCTCCCTAGATGAGGCAAGGAGCATGCCACAGGATGAATGTGTTTTCTGGAGGATCAGACTGATAGTAGATGGGCAGTGGAAAGAAGAAGAATGCTGTCCTCTCTCATACTGGCAGGCAGCAGAGAAGGGGGGCTTTTCTGGGATTTTTGTGTTTGTGACTCTCCATAGCAGGTGGCTGAGACCCTGCCGAGGCAGAAGAACTTGCAGCTTTTTGTAGCAACTCATCTGTGGGAGGAGAGGGCTGAAAAGGGAATACCAATGCACATGTCCCTGCCTCTTCTGGGGAGGGAGGAGGTGGGGATAACCATCCAAACAGGTTGTGTCCAGTGGGTGGACGGAGCTGACGTGTTCCATTTAGCTTTCTGTGACCAAATGGTGAAAACTACGATGTGATGATCCTGCTGCATTGTTTGTCCGTTACTTTTCCTGGCTTTTTGTTTGTTTGTTTGTTTTTTTTTCCTTCTCTCATTCCTTCTGTTTTCTCCTTCTTGCCACAGGGCTATTCCCTTAGGGTTGTAGAGCCCACCTTGTCACTGACACACACCACGGCGTTTCACTTGCTTGCACTGTGTTTTTCATGCACGTTGAGGCTGCACTCTCTTTTTCTCTCTCTTTCTTGCGTCATCACAGTTGTATTTGGCTGCCATGGACAGTAGCAGCCATATGAGCTGGCAGCTTAAGCCCTCGGACAGTGCACGGACATACTGGTAACAGCGCCCGCAAATGGAACAGGTACTGGAAAAAAGGTCCTTCTTGCTCAATCCCTTCTCCACTCCCAACCACTCCCTTCATCCCTGCACTGTTTATCCCAGGCCAGTGCCTTTTATTTCTTCACATTCCTTCCCTCTGCACCTCCCACCCCATTCCCTCCTGCCAAGGGTTAAAATTAAAAATCATTTTTTGCGCTGGTGCAGACTCAAGGAGCAATATCGACCTTCCAAAGGCTTCTGGTGCACGTCGTGAGGGTGATAGGTGCCCATGGCTCACAAAGGTTAACTCACAGCAGCTCCAACTCAGAGTCCACACCCGAGAACCGCTTGAACACTGAGTGCTGCTCAAATGTAGAACTAACCTTGCACTTCAAATGCAACTTAGAAGTTCTCCCATCACAAGAAGCCCGTTTCTAGAAGTAACGAGAACCAACCTAGCAGCTTTTCAGTTGGGACTGGTTGTCTTAATTCAACTTTTTGACTTCCCTTGAGAACTGCTGCTGTTTTGTTTGTCTTGACTGGTCATAACAGCATGTGCTCAAAACCACTGATAGCCCTCTGCCACATGCTTTAAGCTCCTTAAGTAGGATTTTTAATTTGTTGAAAGATCCTACCTGGCAATGGTGGCCTGTCCTGAAGAGTTCCTTCATTGCCTGTTAGATTTGTGTGCAGCTTCTCAGTTTTTTTTATCCTTGCATTTAAAATCAGAAAGGAGCAAGTTTTTTTGAAAAAAAAACTTCCCTGAAGGTCCAGACACAAGCACTAAGATCTATTTCATTCTGTTTCAAAACCTTTTACTGTTTTGTTTGTTCTGTGTGTTTCCAAATCATCCCATCCATGTCCCACAGGCTCTGTGAGCGGGGCCCTCCTAGTACCATTTCACTGTCTGAATTCCCCATGGGCTGTAGCTGCTGATGTCCTCCAAGATAGATAGCCAGTGCTTGTTCCTTTGCAGTGGTCCATGACAAAGCCATGTGCCTACAGAAAGAGTAGGTGGTCTGCTTTAGGCCTTGTAGGTTTTAGCTTGGTTGAATATAGGGTAAAATTACTGCTCTTAGGCTCATCATACTCATCTGGTGTGAAGGACAGTGTGTTCCTTCAAAGGAACTCCAGCCACGCAGTCACTGGAAGGAGTTGGTTCCAGCCGGAAGAGAGGGTCCATTGCTTTTGACTCATGGAGTCGATGACCCGTATCTTACTTTGTGTTCCCAAAAATATGTGTCCATAAAGCTGCTGCTCCTCCTTTTCTGCTGTTCTTGCTGGGACTTTTGTCAGCCTTGCGTTGGGTTCCTTTCCGTTGTGTCGCTGCTTGGTCTGTGTTCCTGCTGCATCTTGCCGTGTGTCTGCCTGCCGTGTGACATGCTGGGAAGGGTGCTGTCTGAGTCGGGTGTCTTGATGCCTTCTGCCATGGTGCATGAACACAAACCAACTTGTCTTGAAGCATGGTGCTAGCACCCTTGAAAGGGGCACAACTTTCTTCGGGCTTAAGTCTTGCAAAGACTGCTCTTGGGCGTCAGCTTCTGGGGGGCTTTCTGCTTGTTGGCTCCTGTGGGTGGTATTGCAGTGATGGGTGGGACTATTCCATGAAATAAAATATTGCTTGTGGGAGGGGGGAAGTTCTAGTGTCTTCATTCTGGACTTGAAATCTCCTCTGGGCTGAAACACGGCCTGATCTCAGCCCGCCCTGTCTTCTGCTTCCCTGAGCTCACACCCAGAGTTTAATGTGGGCTGTCTGCAGGGCTAAGGAAAAGGCACTGCATTCTTTTCAAGGCTTTTAAAAACAAACGAAACAAACAGAAGCTCTGTTCTTTTGACTTGGAAAGCTGAAGTCGCTTTGATTTCAGAACCCAGTGGCTGGAATTGGCTGTTTCCCTGCACCTTGTGCCTCCCGTACATACTGATACCAAATCCTGTGTGTTTACTGTGCTCCAGCTATTTGTGAGGCGGATCAACCTTGAAGAACTTGAATCCAGAAGCTTTGGTCTTTATTGGTTTACCTGAATAGCTCTGGCAGGAAATCAAAGTCAGGGTAGCTAAAGAGAGATACATACAGGTTTTTTTTACCCACAAATAGTAAATGGTTTATGCTCAGAGTCATGGTTTCACATGGTAAGTGATCTCCTAGCACAGCTCGGTTAGTTCGTGGTCTGCACAGTTCACAGGAGTTGGTAGAATTTATGGTCTCTAAAATTAACTGATTATTCTCATTATTTTTTTAAACTTTTTTCTTTTTTTTTTGCAACCAATGATTCCTTTGTACACAGGCTTTACGTGTTAAGCACCTAACTAGCACGTGCTGGCAAACTGTACCTATGAAAGTTTATACCCTCAACAAGGCTGGATGTGAAGGAAAGTCTTATCTTCTTTTTTTTTTTTTCCTTTGGAGAAATAGAAAAATAAACTTGTGTGCAATCAGCTGTGTTTGTCCTAGCTGACTGGTAAGTGACTGAGAGGTGTACTGTGTTGAATAGCACAAGCCACCAGGAAAATCGGTAAAAGAAGTCTTCTAAGTACTCTTTTCAGGGTAGCTGGTGGTGTGGTGAAGGTATGGGCTGAAACTTGTCCTCCGTGCTGTTTTTGAAAGGGTAGATGAGGGTGTGTAGGCACGTGGGTACTTCCAGAGAGAGTAGTGGAAGAATGAGTGCATTGTGCATGTTCTTTAACCTTCTATGAAAGCTCCTCTTTAAAGGAAACTAAATGCAAGTGTGTACCTTACAGCTGTGTCAGGCACTGTATGCACTTTATCTCAGAGTCCATGACCTCCTTAGCTCTGACTTGGGCTTTAAGTCTTTAGAATTACTTTTTAAAGCAGCTAAAGACTTATTTTAACTGTGGATACTATAGTTTGGTTTCGTATCAGTGTGACCGGCAAGTTTCTGCTGATACATCTTCATCTGCTGGCCTGTCCAGATGTTGGGATCTGTGTGTTGCACAGCATCTTCCCTCTGCCTCCCAGCAGAGGATGCGCTGCAGGACTTGGCTGAGGGACAACAGGCTGTGGAGCAAAGCATTCCTACGTGGGGTCTGATGGGGTGGCTGAAGATCCATCACACGCTGGTAGAGCTGTGCTGGTGATGAGGGGTGCACGGTGAAGTGTTAGCTCCCTCCTTCCAGGTTTCAATCAGAAATAACTTACCATGGTTATTAAAAATACACTTTAACAGAAGGAGTGACTGGTTCAAACTGTAACGGGAAAAGGTACAAAGGCACAAAAATACTGAGTTAAGGAGAGAACATCAGCCCTAACTCGACAAAAGCACAAAAACACTTGAGTTAAGGAGAGAACATCAGCCCTAACTCTGACTACTCTGAGTCTTGATTTGTTCCTTGTGGTGGATGCAGGTAGGTTTGAATGTAAAATGCCCTCTGCTTGACTGTCCAAATCTCATGTTCCTGATTACTTTATTTTAATGACACTTAAACGACTGTGGGATGTTTCCTTGGTGGAGGACTTTCCAACTTCTCTCTCCGTGGTGGCTGTACATTGTACATCCTAGAAGTGCAGTTCATCAAGTGGCCCTTCTTGATCTTAATGCTCTAGAGAAAGTTGATGTTACATGTTGTGTGCTGAACCTATATGACTTGTGCAGAAAGAGGCACAATAACCTTCCATGATCTGAGATATTTTTTTTCTAAATAGTTCTTACAAAACCTTAGCACCTGGAAGTTCTCTGTTCATACTCATCTATCACATCACATATAGAACACCAATGGAAAATGAGCAATCAAATGCAATTTTCCATCTAAGACCCTCTTCTTAGCATGATGCTTGTCTGGTAATTTCAGCATTTTGCTGCCATGCTTCCTCCATGAGAATGTTCTGTGATTTCTAAGCCTCTCTGAGCCTGTTGGGTTAGTGTCATACATTTTAATAATGCCCTAAACTTTATTTCTGAAACAGTAATCCCATTTAATAAACTGTATAGAATGTAGTCCTGAAACTGGCTCAGCTTGGTATTTTCCACCTTTTTTCTTCTCACTGGCAAAAAAATACATCTTAAAAAGAGAAAGAACAGATGTACCCTTTGTCCTCTAAATATAGATGCCATTTCTGGGCCAGAGTTTTATATTAAGATCCATGTTCAGCTGAAGGTTTTCCAATTATGGAAGACAGTAAAAGATGAATGTGCAAATGAGCCACAGGTGTCTTCATCTTGTGCCGATGGGGTCCGCTCTGCCAGAGGAGCAGTTTCTCTCTTCTATTGTGCAAAGGCTCAGCCTGGGTCAGTCTTTGAAGGAAAACTGATAAAATACTGTTAATTCTCTGAAAACCCCTTTGGACAGCTGAGCTTTTGAGAGCCTAAAGATGCCTCATAATGTTCTTTCCCAGTGGGCAAGATAAATCATACCTCCTGGTGTGGAACTGCCTTTTCAGTTGTCTCTTTGCCAGTTTAACTGGCTTTTTTATGTGGTTCACTTTTAAAGGTGATAAAAAGTCTATATGCTGAAGAGCACTCTTGGGAAGGAAGATGTCAGCATTACAGAATTATTCAAGCTCCAGCTGGTATAAAAAGAGGAATAAAATGTCTGTCCTCATTGCTTAGTTGTTAGTATCATGGTAGCAGGATCCAAGAAGCAGCAATGTGGTCATGATGAAGGCATTGAACACATTGGCATAAAGAGGGAGAGCCTTTTATTCTTTCTGCTGGGCATTATTTACATGCTTTTCAGCTCATTATTCAAAGCTGAATGGCATATGTTACCTCAGCAGCTCCTGGGAGCTGTTTTGGATTACCTTGCTTAGAATAAAAAAAGAAAATAAGAAAAAAAACCAACTTTCCCCTCAAGCAAAGCGAACTCTCGTCTTTCTGACTTTCTCTTCTGAAACTAGAGTAACAACTTTCCCCTCAAGCAAAGCGAACTCTTATCTTTCTGACTTTCTCTTCTGAAACTAGAGTCTTGTCTGCTGCTGCTCAGCACGCAGGTTGGATCCCAAGCCACAGTGGATTATTACCCATCTGATAACTTTTTAGCTAATACCATCTTGTTTGGTGGCAACCTGTTTCCAGCCTGACGGGCTCTGTGCTTTCTTGGGCGTAAACTGTTCAGAAGCTCATTTTTCCACACTTTTCTTTCAAACTGCCCATCTCTGAAGCTCGCAGTCTTCTGATGCTGTAAAATGCAATGTAAAAAATGCGGAGCACATTCATTTTCTTTTCAGCCTCCTCTTCTGGCACGGTTGAAAGCAATAACATGACTAAGAGAGGGTAAAGGTGTGAGGTGGGGGGTTTCTGCATCGTTTCCCTTTTCCTCTCTTCTCCCAAGCGAAGTATGGCGTATTTCAACTCAACAACTATTGGATTTCCTTCTCTGTAGAGAGCTGGGATAAATAAATCATTAGCCCATCTGCCCTGATCTGGCCAGCATCCTTGTAGCCAGCTGACTGTATGTTACTCGGAGTAGACTGTGCAGTGACTTGTGAAACTTTCCTCACCAGACCGAGCAGCTCCTTGCTACGCTTGCTGTAAATACAGACTGGTTTATGCTGGGAGGTGGTCGTAATCTGTGGATCTGTGTTTACATTAGTCATTCTGACTTACTTTTCTGTTCTGTTTTGTTTTGTTTTGTTTTTCTCTTGTCTCCCTCCAGTACACCTCCAGCATGAGAGCCAAATACCTCGCCACCAACCAACCTCGTCCAGATGCTGGCAGTGTGCATTAAAATGAAAAAGCAAAAAAAAAAAACACAACAAACAAACAACAAAACCCACACGTGCAGTCAGACTAAACAATGTGCCAACTGCTGTGCCCCTGTGCTGTCCTCGTAGAACAACCCTGCTGTTCTGCCCAAAATCCAGTGCAGCTCCTTCTGTTTCTCCAGTCCAGACCACCCTCCAACCCAGTACCTGCCCATTGGAGCAGAAGCCCCTTCTGAATTTAAGCCTTCACCTTGTTGTACCTGATGTGTGAGAGAGAGCAAGCACGAGCAGGCAAGAAACTGGGAGCCCCCAGGCAAGAAACTGGGTCCACCTTCCTCGGGTCAACTCGATCAGAGTAGCTTATCAGAAAAAGTTGGTGAATACCTTCTGCCCCGTTTTTTCCCCCCCCTTCTGTTCCCCAGAGGGACTCGGTGAAAGATGGTGGTAGCTCTTCAGTTCTGCAGTGGGATCAGCAGTCTGTCAAACGCTGAAGAAGCAGAGGCTCGGTGCTGATGACAGCCTGCAATGAGGGAATGCTGAGTCCATGCAGCATTTTGGGAGTCCTCTGGTCTGGTGCCCTGTGTGAGGAAGGAAACCCCTGCCTCACGGTGTCACTTAATCCACTCTAGTTTGGGAGCCTGGAGCTCTTCTAGAGCAAGTAATTCCACTGGTTAACTTTTTGTTTGTTTGTTTTTTAAAATAGTCCATTAAGAAAATGCTTTTTTCTTTCCCAGTATATCTAGCATCATGTGAATTCTCGAGGAGGAGCAGGGGGGACCCAACACCAGTCAATTGCTCTGAACCTGCCCTCTCTGCCCCACCAGGGGAGCCCAGGTACTTGCAGATGACATTCTGGGTGCTGCCTTTAACGAGGCCAACACACAGATCACACGGGAACCACCCACCCACTTGGTGCCAAATTTTTCCAGGAAAAGACTTTATGGGGGTAATTTTGCACTAAAGAGTTTCAGCTCTCTGATGCTAGATCTTATGGGACAGGCAGCTTGCAAAAGCAAGAGAGACTGGAAGCACCAATGGATTTAGAGCAAACACAAGCTCTCCCTGCAGGAGTGACCTGTGAACTCTGCTGGACTTTTTTCTTTTTTTTTTTTTTAAATCATGATTTGCAGCACAGGGTTGCTGAGCGGGCATTGAAGGAGGTTTTTGGAGCCTCTGTCCTAACAAACTCACAAGATTGTCAGTGTATCTTCTTCTGTGTTCCAGAATCAGAAACCCAAATGACATCTGGAGAACATTGCGACTGTCAGAACAGGCTTTTCTTTTATTCCGTTTTATTTCCTTTTGTTTTTCAAGGCATGTTGCTAACCACTACCTGACCATATTGAGGCACATGTAAGGCATTTTTCTAGACAACGAGGCAGAACAAGGCTTGCAAAGGGGCAGCTGGGAGCCTGCAGAGGGCAACATCCTCCACTGGTGCTGTACCTTCCACTGAAGAGCAGTGCTCCAAAGGGCACGGACAGCTTCCTACTGGAAGAGGAGCCTGCCTCTTGGGAGGTACTGTCGAGTACTGCCCTCTCACTAGGGTGGCTCTGATGTTCCTTTTTTCTCTTTTTACCTCTGAGCAGGGGCATCTCAGTGCAGCTGCTGAGCATTATATTAAAGAACTGGCGGAGTAAATGAAGTGGGGAAGCGTCTCTGGAGCTGGAGTTGAGCCATTGGCAGAGGCAGTTAGTCTTCACCTCAGTGATGTTCAGACTCGATGTCTGTTTACCCCACGCTTGCTGAACGGGGCACAGAATCTACCAATCTGCCTTTACTCAAGTCAGTTGCCTTCTTGCAGTGAGGTAGGAACTGCTCCGAGCAGGTCGCTAGCTGGGCTGATGATATCTGCTGTAAAATGGTACCAGCTCTCCTCAAAGAGCAAGCTTTGAGACTCCTCTTAAGATAGAAACCACTAATTAGACTGGAAAAAAGCTGTAGGCCAGCTCTTACCATTCAAAGGAGTGAGGGAGACAGGGAGGAGGCACCACCACGCAGACAGGACGGAAAGGTTTTGGAGAAAACTTCACACTTCACCATAAATCTCTGGAAGCAGGGTTTTCTTGCTCAGGACTGAGTATGCCCTTTCAGACACGTTTGAAGGGCTTCACACTGAAACATACCTCTGTTAACAAAAAAAAAAAACAACAAACCAACAACAAAAGAAGGGCAGGGAGACGTAGTCACAGGTGATACGGAGGGACGCTGTGGTTCATGAGCACCAGGTTCTCCACCCTGTCTCAGAGCCTACCAGGAGACCCAGCTGTGTGAGCACGTGGCATGGTTAGCTTGCAGGACCCAAAGCACACTGCTCTCTGGGGGGAACTGGACCTTCCCCTGGCTTTGAAGAAAGAAGCAAGAGCCATATAATCCTTATTAAGACTGAGTTGTTCTGCCATCATCTCCCCTTGCGAGGATGTGCTCGGATTGCTACTTATGGTATGAATTTTAGGGGAGCTGCCCTAAAATCTCTGGTCCTACTCATTGAAGGCAAGTGTTTTGGAGGCTGGAGGGTGTGGGGAACCCTGTGAAGACAAGTGCTTCTGTATATTGACTTTTCTGATATACAGAATGCATCCTGAGCACGCGTGTGGCTGCACTTTGGGTTGGATCTGAATTGGCACAGTGATATTGTCTGCACCAGCGGGGCTAACGAGGGGGGGAGCGAGCCTATGCCTTTTTGTTTGCAGCATCTGATGGAGCAGCCACCTTGACCTGCTTCCTTCCAAGGTTTGGCACAGCCACTTGTAACACCCAGAACAACTCCTGACAACGCTTGGGGCTTGCAGCAGGGCACAGATGCGGGAGACACGTGCTCTGTGACTTCAAAACATAACTGGAAAGACTGTTACGAAGACGACGTTTTGCTCTCTGGGGCCAGCGTGACGTGACTGCAGTGTGAGCTGTGTACCTTTGTCCAGCCAGCACTTCCTTTACTTGACATGGATATTGCACTTTTGTAAAGCATCCTGGAACTCTGCTGCCCCGCTGCATGCTGTGCAGAGCGCTGGATAGGAAACACAGACAAATGGGTTTCTTTTGGTTTATTATTATTACTACTTTTTTTTTTCTTTTTTTTTTTTACTTTTTTTTTTTTTTTTTTTTTTTTCCCTTTTTTTTTTTTTTTTTTCCACTGGAACCTTGAGCGACAGCGTGGCATTTCTGCAGGCTGGTCTGAACGGATCTGCTGAAGAACAGATGGCCTTTGCCTACTCTTACGGCTGCGACGTAATCAGCCTCATCCATATGGTCACATTTTGTCTGAGGAGTGGACTTTGGAAAGCCAAGATCTCCCAGACTCTGTGCCTCCCTCTCGGGTGAACAGCAGGTGCTATCTGGCGAAGACTCATCTGTTCTAGATGGCATTCATGGTTGAGGGAGTCCAAACTCTTCAAGCTGTAGGAGGTAAAGCTGTAGAGACTTCTCTCTCTTCCATTGTGTCTCTCTGTTTTTTAATGTGACGAAATGCCAAGGCCATATCACTTGGTGTGTCCCAGCTGACCTTACGGGAACAACCTTACTGGTGTTACTGGTTGCTAGCAAAAGGGTCCAGAATTCAAGGGAGATGAGGTTGGCCTCTGGACACCTTGCTGACTGCGAAACAGAAGGCAGCTTGTCCAGCTGAAGGCGACTGCATTGGTGAAGACACTTCATGTTACCTTTTCAGAAGCACAAATGTGGTCATTGGCTTGTCTGGTTGGCTTGGTTTTATTTCCACTGCATCATCATGTGTGAATGACACTTTCTTTTGGAACTGAGAACTCTTCCAAGCACACAAACATCTCCACAATGTGAAATGTAAATAGCATGTTGGACTCTCGTGTCCAGTGTTCAAGACTGCATTGTAATTGTAAAGGAAACCGAATCAAGACTTGGCTGTGAATTTCTTGTGCTGTCTTGGGAATATAACTGTAGTGTTTGTATCCTGTGTGTATTATTAAACTGAGTTCATTTTATGTGCTGATAAAAGGGTTCAAGCTAAGATTTTTAGCGTGCATCCATGTATCCAAATGTGAAGGATGGAGTGCTCCCTCCCCCTCCTGTCCTTTTTTAAGTTTTCTCCATTTGATGATAGGTGTTAATTTTCCGTGTACAGTCATCTCAGCCAAGATGCAAGGATTTGAGTGCTTTGAGGGGGACACAGTGCGTGGGGTTTTACGTGATCCTGAGTCAGGATTTTCCATAGCATCCCTGAACATACGTGCAAAGTTTGGCCTTTCTGAGAGTAACCCATGTCTCGGGGGGGCTGCTTGGCCATCGCTCCTGAGAGCTGTGGGTGCTGCAGGGTGACAGCAGGCAGGAGCAGGTGGACACCCCTCAGAGCGGGGTACTGGCAGCGGTGTGGATAAACCCATGCTTCATTTCTGGTCCCACCTTCTCTTCCTTCTGGCAGCAACTGAAATAACCACGCCGAGCCCTTTGAAGAAGAGAAAAGTGTCTTGGCTTGTTGATCCTGGCCACCCCACCTGATGCGGGGGGTGGATGAGGTGGGTGGGTTTTCCTTCATCTAGGGAGGGGAGGTGTCTTTGAAGTACCTTCTACCTAGGGACCAAGGAGAAGCCAGGGTCTTCCCCAGCTCTCCAAGGCTGCTGGTGTAAGTGAGTGAAGATCTCTGCGTGGGAGGGGAAGAGCCCTCCGGGCAGATACCAAGGGGTAGATCTGATGCCTTGAGAGAAGAGACCCAACGAGACTTAATCCGTACCTGTAACCAGGTGGCTTCTTTCATCACAGCCTACTCCCCTTTTCCAGAAGTTCTCTGTGTGCATGCTATGGACGGTTTCCCTAGGAGGCCCAGCAGAAGCGTGGATGTTTTTGGTAGCGAGTGATCTGTGCTTTTTTTTGGGGGGAGGAGAGCAGTATCTCCTGCTGAGCCGTGATGGTGAGCGTGTTGCCCAGCTGGGAGAGAGAAGGGATGGGGTGACTGGTGGCCTGGAGCTCCCGGGTGCTCGCCCAGCCCCTGTGGCTGCATGCGTGAACAAAGTGGAACATAAATTGATGTACAACCAGAAAGTTCAAAATACTCCTTTCCTAAAGAGGATAACTGTAGCATGAAGCTCTTAGGTGCTCTGCATATTTAATACCACATTGCTCCTCACTATGCAATTCCCAACTCCTTCCTTCCTCTTCCTCCTCTAATCTCACCCCAAGACTTCTCCAGAGGCCTCCCACCCAGGGAGGCCGCTGAAGTCCCAGAAAAGCTTCATTCCTTTCATTGTCCTCTGCATTGGGTCCAGGTGCCCAGCCCTCACGTCGCGTGCCTCAGGTCCCTTGGTAATGGGAGGCCCCATGAGTTTTATTCACATCATTCAGAGGGAAGTTTATTTTCTTGGACACTGTGCACAGAAACCTAATGGTGATCATGTACCTGGCCTTTTTGTAACTTTTTTCTGTTTTTTCTTCTTAACCATAATGGTTGTATATCATACCACTTTATATACATATATAATATATAAATATATATAATTTTTTTTAAAACTTTGGACCTGCTAGTTTCTTTCAAGTGTTCCTGCACTTACCCAAAATGTTTTTAAATTGTGAGGGTTAAAGAGGATTGAGCCCATTTTTGTATCTTTACTTTTAATTCTGTAGTTCTATTGATTGTAATGTAGCTATTTTTTACTGTAACTTTTTGGTTTGCAAATACTAAACAAAAAACCTAAATGTAATTTCTGTGGTTTCTATTCAGCTTGGGTTTCATGTTTTAAAAATAAACGATTTAAAACCACTGTTCATACTTATTGATTCTTCTTTTTTTTTGTTTGTTTGGGGTTGGTTTTTTTTGTTTCCTTTTCCATAAATCTGCTTGAATTTTCATTACCTTTCATACGATGTGGTAGATCCGTGAAGTGAGACTGGGTAATAGAGGTTGTTTATTTGAGGGGTTTTTGTTTCTTTTTCCATAAATCTGCTTAAATTTTCATTACCTTTCATACGATGTGGTAGATCCGTGAAGTGAGACTGGGTAATAGAGCCATGAAGTCTAATGGTGGAGGATAAAAGGAATAGGAACTCGAGTGCCCTGCGCTACAGAAATCAAATTTTTGGGGTCAGCCCAGGTGGGAGAGACGAAGGATGCTCCCAGGTTTTGGCAGGGCTGCTTTCTCCTTTATTTTCAGGTCTCAGCCTCATCTGGCTCTTGTTAGAAATCACAGATGTAGAGATTTCTAAAGCCATTGGAAGACTGGACTGTTAAAATTGGTCAGCCCCGAAAGAACCTCTGAAGAACAGTGATCGACGTGGACATTTCCTCCAGGAGAAGCTGCACTCATCCTGCCTTAGAGAGGGGGTGGCTCGTGCCCCTCCCGGGTGAGGTTTGGCTGGGAGGGGTGCCTGGATGGGGGCACGGAGCCAGGCTGTGGGGCCGTCCTTGTATTGGGGACCTCTGGGGCCACCAGCACCGCTGCAGAAGGTGCTGGAGCATCTGGGGGAGGTGTCCATCAGCCCATGGAGATGTTCACCCTCCAAACAGTGCATGGAATGGGATCACAGAACCATGGCGTGGTAGGAGTTGGAAGGGACCTTTGGAGATCATCTAGTCCAACCCCTTGCCAGAGCAAGGGGGGGGTCACCTGGGGCAGGTTGGACAGGAACACATGATACATCCCAAAGTCCCCTCTGCTGCTTGGCTGACGCTGCTCTGGAGCAGCAGTGAGCGCGGGTGGTTCTTTTTCACCAGCAGAAGTACAAAAAGTATGGAAAAATGATATGGGGGAGGAGGGGCACACACAGCCCTCATGAAGGCATCCCTCTTCAGCAGGCAGTGAGATGTAGGTACGTGCCTCCAGTAACGGCACGCGGCGCCGGAGGGGCTGGTGCTGCAGCTCGGCGCGGGCTCGGCTTTGCCCTGGGCTACGGCGGGTTTCTTTTTAATTCTTTTTAGTTCTTCCTTTGTAGTGCTCTCTGATCACAGGCCCGCGCTGCCGCCTCTCCAGCGAGCGGTGAGCTAAAGCCTTCACCTTCCTGCAAGTCTCTTGGTCTGTTTTCTGCCTGATCCTGCCAATCAAACGGAGGAACCGGTCTCCTTCCTCCATCCCGTGCCGTTCTTGCCCTCAATCTCAGCCTGTCACTGGGGCTCTTTGGGAAACCCCCCCCCAAACTGCAGTAAAGCCAAAGGCCCCGTTGCCTGAACTTGACCCCTAGGATGAGGGATGGGGAGGAAGGAAGCTCTTCATGCAGGAGTGAGGGCTTTATGGATGAGAAGAAGCAATTGTGGGGTGGCAAAGCCCCTTGGCAAGGTTTGGTGACAGCAGGTAGCTCCATCAGTTGATCCAACCATGGGTTAAAGTAGGAAGTTCCCAAACTACCCAGTGATGCTGTGAAGACCAGCTGATGGTCCTGGATCTCCCCAGCCCTGGATGTCACCACTCCGTGGCAGAGCCAGTTTGAAGGGCACTGGGAGGGGACAGCATCCCGCAGCCCCGTGACCTGAGCTGGGCTCCCAGCCATCCTCCCCCTGGGTGCCACCCCTCCTGCCCCGCTCCCCGTGGAGGTACTGCTTCCCTGGGAGGCCAGACTGGTCTGAGCAAGGATGTGGCTCCGTTACTGGTGTGGGGTTTTTAAGTGCTGTGTGTATTTACACGACTGAAACCCCCACCCTCGCCCTCGAGTCCATCAGGGCAGTGCAGAACCACGGAGGGCTTTTTGCTGCCTTTCACCCTCATAGCTGTGAATCTCAACAGACACCAGTTTTCCTCCTTTCACTAATAATTGGGAGATTTGTCTCCCTTTTGTTCCTCCTCCCCCGCTAAAGGAGGAACCCACATTTTCCATCTTCAACCCCAAGCTGAGCCAATTAAACCCGTTCTGGTGCAAAGGGCTGGGGGAGCAGTCAAGGGAATCTGATGGCACGAAGGAAAATAAAGCCCCCATCAGAGTCAGCACGTAAATATTTTACCAGGTTTACAGATTCCCACCAGGGATGGGAACATGCAAAGGCCACCTGCCCAGTGATCTTCCCCAGTCCTTTCCAGCAGCCACCAGCCTCTCTCACCCTGCTGCACCACTCCCCATCCCAACTGGAGCAGGGCAGGGCTCTCCTGAGCAACCAGGAGCTGGGAGAAACCAGAGGGAAGGGTGAAGTATGTGTTTGAATAAAGCTTGCCTTCTGATCAGCCTTCAGCAGTTAGTGGTCCCTTAGATCTCTGGCCTGGGAGATAAGGCAGGGAGGAGTGCCCCGGGGAGATGCTTTCAAACTTTTTTGTTGCTGTGGTGTGCTGAGCTGTGCTCACAGGGGCACTGCCTCCAGGAGCTGGTGGTGGGAGGAAAAACCAGCAGGCAGAGCTGGTGGCTGGGGGGTACCTCTTGGGATGCAGTGAATGACTGCCTGCCCCCATCTCCTGGCACCTCTCGGGGTGGGAAATGGCACGTGCCACGGGGGATGCTTTCTGCTGAGCTGCGCACACAGCAGCAGCTGATGATGATGATGCTGAAGCCTGGATCTGCCCATCTTCTTCCATTGGATGCACCTGAGATCTGGAGTCACAGCTGTCCTTCAGTAGGGTCTCATCAGGGCTCTGCCTCCCCGTGTGTTGGAGGAAGGCAGCAGGTGGCTGAAATCACATCTCCATCTCTTCTAACCCCTTTTGAAGCATCCTTCTCCCTGAGGAACCACCCCATCCCACTCTGACGGAGCAAGTCTGCTTTCAGAAGGTCACGGACACCCCTCACAGGGTGAGGGAGGCCGGGATAGAGCTGAGAGCCTGCTGGCCCATCAGCTTGAAAGAAAAGCTTGAACAAGGAGAGTCTGATCGGTCTGACCACACGGGGATGCTGAAGTCCTGCTCTTGGCGGCTGGAAGGGTTTGCAAGAGAAGGCAGCCACAGGATGGGCAAGGGGAGAGATGATGCTGCTGGTGCAGGGCCTGTCCAGCTGAGCTGAAGGTCGGGGGCTCAACAGGGCTTCTCTGCACCCCATCTTTGCAATCCATCCTGGAGCTGCTCCGTGGGTCAACAGAGGGTGCAGAGGGATGTGACCACCCGGCACGTCTGCCAGCAGCCTTCACCAGCTCTGGTGGCCAGGGAAGGAGGGTGGCCTGGCTGTGACCACCTCGGGTCACAGGTCCAGCCACCGCAGTGGAGAAGCTGGTCACTGCTGTGCCATCACAGCATCGCATGGTGGAGAGAGGCCGGATGGTGGCAGGAGCAGAAGGACTGTTCCTTTTTTTGGCTGCTGTCCCTGCTTGGAGGGCGGTTTGCCTCGGCTCTGCCAGCGGGAAGGGCTTTGCTGCAGCAGCAGCGTTTCTCACCATGGCTTCAGCAAAAAAATCCCTGCTCAGGGATTATTTTAAAAAAAAAAAAAGTGGGAGGAAGCAGCGCTCCATCCTCACCGTGAGGTGTTGCAGATGCTGGAGCTCTTCTCCCACCCGCTTCCTCTTCCCACCAGCAGAACACCACGGGACCTGGCGCTTGCACCCCATAAATCACTCCCTCACTCACGATCCGCTGCTCTGGGGCCAGTGGGCTGCTTGGGCAGGGAGCCAGCAGGCTCCCCCCTCACCCCCAGCTCCCTACAGGGCTTCAAACCCAACGGCCCATCCTGTCCCCCCCCATTAAATAATGAGGTGCTCCCCAGGCTGATGTGGATGCAGCTGGAGCATCCCCCAGAGCCGCTTTGCTGTGTGGTGTCACTGCTGCCTGCAGCCCCCTGCCCTCAGTGGGGACAGGCACAAACCTGGCACTGGTGCGTGTCCCCCCCACTTCGCTGTGAAGCCACCTCGGTTTGGGGGGCTGGAGGAGGACACATCCGAGGAGGAGGAGGAGGAAGGGAGGCTCAGGAGCGGGGCCGTACAGCAGCACCGTGGGTCTGCTCGGGCAGCGCCCTGGGAAGTATTTCCAGCTGCTTTTAAGATGCTCAATTCATCTCCTCCTCCGCCCTTGGCTTGCCAAACGGCTACAGGAGTGGGGTTGGGGGG